TACATAATCAGTTGCGTTTCTGTTTATTTGGACATTGTTGATTAAGTTGTTTGATCAAATTCAGGGACATGTTAAATAACATTGACAAAGAAATAAAGCGTGTTTCACTCAAAAACGCGAAATTAAAGTGAGTCAAAATGAAAAATTTTTGCAAAATTGCAAAATTAAGGTGTCGCGAAATATAGGAACCTCAAAATCGCGAAATTAACATGCCGCAAAAATTTCATGTAATAAGGTATGTTACCTTGTACTAAGCAAGTGTGAGGGCCATACTGGGGAATACTGGACCGAGGTCATTATGGCATGAGGGTTAATATTCCCCAGTATGGCTCAAGCACGCTAGGTTAGTAAGCACAAAACAAAAAATACATGACTTAAGACTGTTACCATGAAATTGCTCCATATGCCAAAATCCTGACCAAGAAAGAACCAACCAGAACGCTTGGATTTACTTCAAGACTACCTTGCTATATAATTACTAGCAGAACTAATTACTTCTGTGAGGGTGATAAATATTAATTTCAAATTTGTGTCCCTTTTTGTAGAATACTTCCACTGCATTCCCGAATCACCACCCATGAACAAGGAAGTGTCTTCCAAAAACCACCAGAGGGTTTCAGAAAGGTGTGTTAAGCTAAATTCTGCAGAGCTGATATAAAATGATGAGTTGAACTCTCAGCATGACTAGTTTTGGGCTTGTTTGCCTTAATTCCTTTAATTCCCAGTCAAAGTTTTGAACAGATGGTGTGTGGTAAAGTGCTTGCACCAATATAATTGTTTTTTGCCTTAGGTGTAGAGGGGTGACCTCACTGCTTGCCAATAGTCTGCGTCATACATACATAAATACATACATTTTTTTACATATACACAAAGAAAAGCAGAGGTGGTTTCACACAATCTTTCCTATTGTTAACCCAAGGGTTTTTTTTCCTTCTTCTATTTCTTCTTAGCTAAGTTTTTAATAGTTAATCTCATTAGTTAATAGCTGGTAGGCTTTTTGATAATTGCAGGAGTGCTCGATGCAAATACATGCAGTGTGAAATGCAAATTAAGATAGAAACTACAGTAACTCAAGTTTCATGCTTGAAGCGATCATCATATGTACACATATTTTATTTGATAATACAGTTTTTTTGAGACTACCACAATATTCTTCTACATGCTCATAGAAACGATACAATTTGATTGAATGTACAATTATTGTGTTTTCTTTCAGGCATTAGATTTCTGATAAACAATGTTTTAATTATTTGCCTTTTTAACAGCAAGTTGACTGTAGTATACAATGTACTTGCTGATATAGCAACTTGATTGATTGATTGATTGATTGATTGATTGATTGATTGATTGACTGTTTGATTTTGGCAGGTCATCTTGGCTACAAACATTGCTGAAAGTTCAATCACTGTTCCAGACATCAAATATGGTATAAACTACAATGATATCGTATGACTTACCTACAGTAGTGCCGCTCAGAGATAAGCAAACCACAATGGCCGTTTGACCACCAACGTGAATGCAAACAAGTTTACTCCAAGTTGAAAATGTGTTTGATGGTTCGCATATCTCTGAGAGGTACAGTATACTGTACCTGTAGTATCCATTTTTAAACAGTCCTTGTAGCTCTTGACCAGGGTATGAATTTTGAACCAATAAATTTTATTCAGAATACGAGATTGGTGATGATTCAGGGTATCTTGCATACTATGAGATGAGTGCAATATGAAGTATTTCAGCATTAAGGGTTTCATCAACAGTTTCAGCAGGGGGGCAACTGTCTTTCACAGGCAGGCAAAATGTTTTGAACTGAGCTTCTTTATAAGACTAGTAAAACTTTCCTCTAGATGATCAAATCAGGCGGGCAAAATCATCCTTCCAACTGGTCAATTTGCCCGATAATCTCGGCAGTATATTGCAGGAGTTAACAGAGCATGAGAGGAACAAAGAAACCTACCTTAGCAAATGCAAGTTGTGTTTAATTAATAAAGACCATTTACCTGTGACTTTGGGCTTTTTGTTTCCTTGTACACCAGCCTACCACTTGTGGGATTAAAAGTATTTCATTTTACAATACTGTGTATGTGTATGAGAAATATTTCTTGACTACTTTTTGTACTTTTTATAGTCTGAGTACAGTATCTTTATGTTTTTCGTAGTTATTGATTTTTGTCTGGAGAAATGTCTAATTTGCGATCCAGAGACAAACTTCCAGAGTTTACGGCCGCAATGGGCATCCAAAGCCAACTGTACACAACGTAAAGGTATGCAGACCACATTGCTTTTTATAATATCATGGTTGTGTGTTTTTATAATGTTACATTATCTCATTTGGGATGTCAAGATGATTTCCAAGAGACTGGTACTGTTGTAAAAACATGAAGCTTGAAAAAAATGTGAATTTCAGCTTGTCCTTCAGACAAGTAACTCTCAATTTTGCTTGTGCAAGGCAAGTGCATGTTTTTTTTTTTCCCCCCCTTTTATGACTTGATTGGCTTATGACTTTTCTGGGCCTCTGTTCATCGGGCAAGTAGACATGAAAAGTTACTAGTTGGCTCTTTTTGTGAGCTCTGAAAATGGGTGCCTGTCTGTAGACAGACACCCTAGCCTGATCAGGTGTCCAGTTAGAAGAGTTATGCAGTGTATTAATGTGAGGCTACGAATTACTTGCAGTGGGTATAAGTCAAATGGATAGAAACATGGCTAAGTGTCTGCTTACAAAGGTCTTTTTTACCTTTGTTAACTTGACTATGGTGTAACAAGCATAATACAGATATATTTATGCTAATTCTAAAATGTACCTGGCGAGCCTACAGAATAGTGCCAAAAATTTATTAGTCAATCTTATTTCAGACACAGCATTTTTCAATGTCTTAATAGAACAATACACATTTCTCATCACCATAGTACAAAATTACCAGGAGGGAACATCACTCTTTCTTTACCTGTGTCCTCACAGAGGTTCATTTATCTCCACTTTTTCTTTGTCTTGTCATTAGGTCGTGCCGGGCGTGTGTCGACAGGAACATGCTACAGAATGGTAACCAGGGAGTTTTATGAATCATGCCTTCCACAGTTTGGTATTCCTGAGATGCAGGTAAATGGTGCACACTGTTTAATAAGTATTACTATATAGATGGCAAGTAGTTGGTAATCATTGCGAATTACTTGTTGATCCAAAAGGTAAAAGAAGTTAAATTTTTCTCAAAGTTCCCCTTTAAGTTAATTTTCACAAACAAAGGTGTGAGTGGAACATTGGGTTTTCAAACATGAAGAAACATATAAAAGCATCACAGTCAAACCAAATATTTTCATTGTTTTTGAGTGGGAGGTAGGTAAGGATTGAGTTGGGTGGGGGGATGAGGGAGAGGGCAAGCAAGGGACGCATGGGTATAAATAGTTCAGAGGGAAAGAGGTAAGGCTGTGGAAGCAACTTGAGCTGGAGGAAGGGAGGGATATGGGTACAAAATTAAAGGGAGGGAGGGAGGGGTGTGGGTAGAAGTTTAAAATAAAATATACATGTATGTCTACACATATTTTTTGAATTTTTGTTTATGCATGTGCTAAATGTATGACTATGCTAAATATGCCAGGACTGTAACACTCTGCTTCTTTACATTATTTCCTCCCAAGAGATGTCCACTAGAACAGGTTGTGTTGAAAGTGAAGCTCTTGGATATTGGTCCCCCCAAGGCTGTGCTAAGACTGGCATTACAGCCTCCAGATTCAGACGACATTGAGCGGACAGTCTTGCTATTGAAGCAGGTGAGGAAGACAGGGAAATATGATTGTCTTGGTCTCTCAAGATTTCACTTACAATAATTAAAAATAACTCCATGTGGAAGAAAGTGGTGTATATTGATCTCTGCAGAATTACAAATTTTTGTACATTATCAAAATGGAATTTCACAAGTTGAATCTCAAATGTCTGTTGAGAGCAGGGTAGTTTTAATTGCATGAAGAGATTCATTACATGCGGGGCTCTGTAGTCAGGTTATACTGTAACCTGTGATCTTGGGTTCTAACCCAAAAAACGAATGCCTGATCACTCTGGAAGTTTGTCTCTGGATCACAAATTAGACATACTGTAGGGTCAGTTCTCCAATTGTATTCTCTTATCAAGAGTGCATGTGAATGCAAACACTGCTTATTCTAGTATTTAAATGTATGACATGATTGTTTTCTAGGTGGGTGCCCTGACCATTGTTATGAAGAATGGTACCATTAATCCTTGTGATGGAGAGCTGACATTTATTGGCAAAGTGCTGGGTAGCCTGCCGATTGATGTTCACCTTGGAAAGCTGCTGGTTTTTGCATATGTGTATGGTTGCCTTGAAGAATGCCTTGTTATCAGTGAGTATCATCAATAGACATAATTATAAAATAAATATTTTTATTGACAACCACTCACCCTATGGGGCTGTTCAGGAAAAAAAAAATCTTAATAGACCACACCCCCACTGGGTTTTCTTCAGGGCCAGTGGAAACAAATTCATGATGAAAACAAACAAACAAACAAACAAAAAAACAATGTAAATGAACATAATATGGTTAAAAATCCCAACTGGCAGGAAGGTGGACCAGTTGGCTATTTACAAGCTTGGCCGAGGAGTTGACCTCAGGGGTATCTAGAACAACACCAGCTGGTGGTCAGAACAGGACGTAAACCTGCAACCTCTGGATTTTAAGTTTGGTGCTTAACCGCTTGGCCACGCTGCCTCCTCCAGGACCAATGTACATGTAAACAAAACAATAGTTTAACAAATATTGCAGATGAATGAACAGGAATGTTGGACAATAATCTTTGTCGAAGATGCCAATTTCACCAAGAGTTAGTGATTTACAGAAGAGTCTTCTAAGACTGAAACCATTGGTGACATAAAGCTTGTTTGCTTCTAAAGCTTGCTTCCCTTTTGTGAAGTAGAGGCCAGTGCACACACAAGCCATGTTCAATGTGTGACTTTTCACATGTAAAGCAAACACAGGACACAAAGTATCTACTGTGAAGGAATATTTTAAGTTCATCTTTTCCAGAATGGTAGACATTCTTCTTGAACTTTTCTTCATCCTTAGGTGCTTCATTGTCTTTGCAGTCCTTCTTTGCAAATCCCTTTAAGAAGGAATTTGATGCTTACAGGTAAATGTAGTCCATCTGTCAATCTTGAAAATATCCCCAAGTGGCCCTGCTTACATAGGATTTTGTCTGTTGTGCCCGTGAAAATGGCACATTATGCTTCTAGCAGTGCTCAGAATTTTTGGAAATTATGTGGAAATTATGCTAGTTTCTCTAAATTATGCTTCTTGCCATCAAAATTATGCTATCTGGTTTTTAAGCAAAATGAAGAAAGAACAGGGTAAATAGAGGCAAAATAGAACAAACCCTTATCTAGTGACTGCAGAATAACTTGTCAGCTGCTGAACTATCTGAACTGGAAT